GGAGGGAGGTGGGGGAAGAAAGAGCAGAGAGAGGGAAGGAGGCAGAGGGGTAGGAGAAGGGAAGAGTGGAGAGAGGGAAGGAGGGAGGGGGATGGGGTCTCAGTGTGTGACACACTCTTTGAGGGCAAGACACAATTGTAAAAGGGACTTTACCTAACAAATACAATCAGTGTAATCTGATTTCTTGTACCCTCAATGAATCCCCAACAATAAAAATAAAACAAAAAAAATATAGTAAGGCCTGGAACATAGTAAAGTTTATACACATTTTAACTATTCATATGCCATCATCACTATTATCATTTTGCAGGTTTTATACCATTTTTGGCTCCTAGGTGCTAAATGATAAAAATCTTTCCTCGGTCATTGTGATAATCAAAAATGCCCCCATACTGGGGTAGAAGGGGAAAAGAAATGGAGGATGTCTACTAATGGTTATATAAAGTTTCTTTCTTGGGTGATGAAAAAGTTCTAAAATTGATTATGGTGATGGCTGCAAAACTTTGTAAACATATTAAAAGCCACTGGATTTTACTTTTTAGAAATTACAAAAAAATGTTTTTTTGAGACAAAGTCTCACTCTGTTGCCCTGATTAGAGAACAGTGGAATCATCAGAGCTCACTGCAACCTCAAACTCTTGAGATGAAGTGATTCTTATATCTCACACTTCCAAGTAGCTGGGTCCACACCTGGCTGATTTTTCTATTTTATTAGAGACAGGGAATCGTTCTTGCTCAGGCTGCTCTCAAACTCCTGACCTCAAGATATCCATCCCCCTGCCTCGGCTCCTAGAGTGCTCCTGTAATCCTTTATAGGAGTGAGACGCAGCGCCTGGCTAAATTATACATTTCAAATAGGTGTATTATATGTGAATTATCTCTCAATAAAGCTGTTTAAAAAAATGTCCCCATATAATTCCAAACCCCATCTTTTCCTCTCTATCCTTTCCACCTCTGCCCTGTATCAATCAATACTACTTTTCTCCAGCCCCACTGTAGACAGATATTTCTAAACACAGATAAGTCTAAATTTTAGCATGGTACACCAATCTCTGGGGCTTGGCTTCCACCTACCCGGTGAGAACTACCAAGTGGCACTGTTACTCCAATCAGACTGTCCAATCATTGTTCCCCATACTTGCCAAGTTATCTGACAACTCTATCCCATCATAGTTATCTTCTGTCTGTTTGGCAAACTTCCATTCATCATTATTTAAGTTCCCCCTCAGATGTCCCTTCTCATCTCTCCATAGGGGATGCTGGTGACATCCACCTCTGTGGCCAGACCTCGTACTCATTCCGAGCATAACGTCTAACTCTGAGTGTTGTAGTTATTGGTTTGTATGTCTGTTTTCTCCATTAGATTATGAGTGTCTCAAGGGTAAGACCTAGTCCTGAGAGCCTGTCTTCTGGATCTGGTGAATAAAATGTGCTTCATGAACATTTTACACATAAAAGAAGTAGCAAACAAAACTAAAACTTATTTCTGGCTTACTGTCTACTTACAATAACTTAAAAATTTTTTAAAAAGTAATTTACAAAATAACATACTTGTTCCATTGATGTTTCATGAAGTTCATTAAGATTCAGAGTATAAATCCCTTCTTCGGCACCAAATATCAAGTACTGATCTGAAACAGAAATAATCCGTTTTGATTGATTTAATAAATTAATTGATTTTGATAAATGTTAATAAGATACTTTAAAAAGGATTTATATAATCTAAAATTCAGTAAATATGTGTTGATATATAAAAAAAATTACTGAGATTTAGAAGCAGTATTTGTTTTTAAGAAAAGGTTAAACACTCTAGGCCAATAAATTGAGTTATATGTAAATATCAGCCTCAAAAACTTTCAAAAGTGCTGAATACTTTTTATGTGAGAGAGCTTCTGAAAAGTGGTACGCTAGACTCTCGCTCTTCAGACAGTGCTAAGGACTGGTGGAGAATTTGCAGCTCTCCTTCCTAAAACCTCTGTAGAGTATCATTAGCAACTGACATACAGACTATAAATCACCTGATACACATTCAAAGTATTTTTACAGAATATTATTTTTTCAGGGTTATTACTATAAGCATTGTGATTTAAAAATACAGTATCTGATCACTGCCTATTTAAAAATTAACTAAAATCTGGATAGCTACTAGAGCACTCAATAAGCCTAGTCCTGTCTGATGTGTTGATAAGACAAAGGTCAAGAACTTCTCCAGACTAAACAGAAGCATTGAGAACAACACTGAGTGCCAAGAGTATGCTTAAACTGCCCAGCATTTAAGATTAGCACTGCTAGATTAATGGCATCAGATTTGTGATCATATAGAACAAGGTTTAAACTAAAGCTCTCTACTGTCAACTGGCTATGAAACAATAAACCTGAGTGTTGGTTTCCCTAGCTAGGAAATGAAAGTATCCAGTGTGGATTTTTAGAAGATTTAATAAGAATGTGTATTAGTAGCTATCTGTCTAAGATACATACAGTTGTGGATATTTTTATATAGGTGCTGTGTATATATGTGTAAACATCACCTATATAAAAATATCCACAACTGTATGTGTCTTAGATAGATACTAATTTATAGACAGATAGTGAGAAGACATTGTCTTTAGTGCCTAATGACAACTATTCTGACTATGACCCCTTTTAAGGTCAGAGATCCTTTTAAGTGGTCACTAAACACTGGGCCCTCAGTAGCTTAGTAACTTCAATAATGGCTGTGTCAAAATATATATATTAAACTGCTATACAGTAGCAGAAGGAACATTTCTGGAGGAAGTTGGAGTGGTAAAGAGTATGTGGCTTAGCTATATTGATACAGTGACTATAAGGTGGAATTTTAATGTTATGTGTCACCTGAAACATTGATAATAGCACAGAGAAACATATTTACATTAAAATTTAAGCAAAATTATAATAAAACCTTTTTTCAACAGGCACATTGTATCCCATACATGAATTACTACACACAGCTATGATTTAATTTAAAAAAATCATTTTTCAGAAATATTCAGAAAATGAATAAAAATAATATCAAATGCTTTCACGGTCCCAGTTGAAAATCTAAATTAGGAAAATAACAATATACAGTACTACCTCTTGTATCTGGGTTTATCCACGATGTTGCACAGTGTATTTTCAAAGGACACCCATTAAAAACCTTTGAAAAACATGCACCCATCTATAAAAATAAAGAATAACCAAAATGAAACAGTGACAAATAACAGTCTTTAATACAATATATATGATGCAATTATTTTCTATGTTAATGTGGCAGACTATAGAGTACACTGAAATTATGATAACCTTCATATTTATAGAAAAAAATATATCAAATCATAATCATTTGCTTAACAGTGCTACCATAACGATTTTTACTTGAGAAAATTCACTCATTTAATTTTTCTAACTTTTCAGTTAAACAGAGCAGTAACAGCAACCAATTCTGCACAGTAATTTGCTAATACAAGTATCACTCACACATCCTATATTGAGAGCAATACAATATTCCCTAATAAATGGGAAATGATAACCTCTATAAAGGTAAAAATTTTTCTTGTTTCATGAGCCTAAAAATGGTATTAATTATTAAATTTCACATTATAAAGCAAAATACTATATAATTGATTTCGAATATTTTTCTTTTGGAGACAGAGTTTTATTTTGCTGCCTGGCTAGAGTGCAGTGGTGTCATCACAGCTCACAGCAACCTCAAACTGCTGGGCTCAAGTGACCCTCCTGCCTCAGCCTTCCAAACAGCTGGGCCTACAGGCATGTGCCACCATGCTAGGCTAAATTTTCTAGAGATGGGTCTCGCTCTTGGCTCAGGCTAGGATTTATATGTGCTTCCACCTTCAAAATACCAACTTTTTCTTTTAACTAAGTAGTCTGATTATTTACCCTGGAAAGATTCACTGAAGAACTTTCCTCTTTGATGTTAATTTATCAAGCCTGTTTACAAATCTTTGGGATAATAAATACTTCATAATGAAATATAATATCACTCATTTGAACTTTACATGTATCTTCAAAGATCAAAATGTTAATTTTGAAATTATTGTTCTGGTTAAATACTCAAAAGTACGTTTATTCATGTAATCACTTCTACTACTTGAAGGAAAATGAGACAAAAAAATATCAGGTTAGAGGAGATTTCTGTATTTGCCAAGTGGTCCTAAATTAGAAGAACACCACGGTGCATCATTTTATGTCAGGGCTATCTTCCTCAGAGACATGGAGGTAACAGGTCAAGAGAACACATGGACTAGCTGACTGTAATGGATAAAAATATTAACATAAAACAAAGACAAAAACCATAGAAGTTTCCCTTTCAATAATATAAGTCTACCAACCAACTTTTTTTAAAGACTTCAGTACCCGAAAAGAATAACTTAGCTTGACAATATCATCAGGTGTTAAAGGACCAATAAAAACATGTTTTTCTGACATAGGGCAGAAACGGTATCACTTAATTAATCCTAATTACCTTTTAAGATAGCTACCAAAATTTGAATTTAAGGTACTGCTACCCCCTAGAAATCCAAATGACAAAATGGGGAACAATCAAGCCAGATCCCAGCCTTCAGCTAACCTGCACACGGGATCCTACCTGGCATTTCATGGTCAGCAGCTTTTCCCCATCAAATTGCATTCCTGAGCTAAGAGTTCTGTCTTACAGCCAAACAGGAAGTTTTGTCCTATGGTATATACTTATGCTACAAGTATATATATGTTATACAATACAAGGTATACTTACTTTATAAGTTAGTATCCAAATAATAATTAAGTATAATATAAATACAAGTTTTAAAGATGTATGTACTTTACAATATACAGTATATGCCAAATTAAAAAGTAGAGTTAAAATAGAAAGGCTAAAAGGTAAGGTTGAAAGTCAAACACTAGAAAAACTAAACATAGCTTTTAAAGTAGTGTTATACAAGGTTTCCTTTTTTTAAAAATTTCAAAATATTAAGGGAGTACAAATGTTTTGTTCATGGATACCGTGTATAATGGTTAAGTCAGGGCTACTAGCGTGCCTGTCACCAGAATAGTGTTCATTGTACCCATTAAGTAAAGTTTTATCCCTCTCCCCTTCTTGGTTTCCAATGTCCTTCACGTCTCTTTGAGTCCATGCACACCCATCACTTAGCCCCCAATTATTAGTGAGCACATGTGTTCATTTTTCCATTCCTGAGATACTTCACTTAGGGCAGTGGCTCTCAACCTTCCTAATGCCGCGGCCCTTTAATATAGTTCCTACGGGTCACGACCCACAGGTTGGGAACCGCTGACTTAGGATGATGGTCTCCGATTCCATCCAAGTTGCTGCAAAAGATGTTATTTCACTGCTTCTTATAGCTTGGTAGTATGCCACGGTATACAACATATACTACAGCTCTATCCTTTCATGTACTGATGGGCACTTAGGTTGATTCCACATCTTTGCAACTGTGAATTGTGCTGTGATAAACATTTGTGTGCAAGTGCCTTTTCCATAAAATGACTTTCCTTTGGGTAGATACCCACTAGTGAGATTTCTAGATGGAACGGGATGTCTACATTTATTTCTTTGAGGAGTCTCCACAGAGATTTTCCAGAGAGGTTGTACTAACTTGCAGTCCCACCAACAGAGTGTAAGCATTCCTTCATCTCTGCGTCCATGCCAGCATCTATGTTTTTTACTTTTAATAATGGCCACTCTGACAGGGGTAGGTAGTGTCTGACTGTGGTTTTAATTTGCAATGCCCTCTTTATTAGTGATGCTGAGAATTTTTTCATATGTTTGTTGGCCATTTGTCTATCTTTTTCTGAAAAACCTCTATTTATGTCTTTTGCCCACTTTCTAATTTTTTTTGTTTTACTGATTTGAGTACTTTGTAGATTCTGTGCATTAGCCCTTTATCAGGTATATAGTTTGTGAATATTTTCTCCCATTCTGTAGGTTGTCTATCTACTACTCTGTTGATTATTTCTTTTGCTGTGCAGAAGATTTATAACTTAATTAATTTTGTTATTACTGTATTTACCTTTGAGGTTTTAGTTATAAATTTTTTGTCTTGCTCAATGTCTAGTAGAGTTTTTCCAAGGTTTTTTCCTAGAATTTTTACAGACACGCTTAATTTAAGGCTTTTGTGCATTAATTTTTATGTTTGGCAAGAGAGAGGGGCCCTGTTTCATTCTTTTGAAGCAGCTATCCAGTTTCCCCAGCACCGTTTATTGAAAAGGTTTCCTTTCCTTAGCATATGTTGTCTGCTTTGCTGAGAATTGGTTGCAGGATGGTTTTATTTCTGGATTCTCAACTCTGTTCACCCATCTATGTGTCTACCTTTATACCAGCACCATGCTATTTTGGTTACTATTGCCTTGAAGTATAATTTGAAGTCAGGTAATGTGATGCCTCCAGATTTGTTGTTGTTGTTCTTTTTTTTTTAGAGACAGACTCTCATTTTATCACCGTTGGTAGAGTGCCA